GATTATATATCATTATATCGTCGTTATTCATTTGTTTTAAACCTCAATAAATAACAAAGAAGACCTTTGACCGGCACTTTTATAATTTTGTCCGGAAGATTTAAACTTTAACACACGCTGACCGGCGAAAAACTCTGCCCGGTTCTGTCGGCCCCCACCGCGGAGAATACACAGAAGTGCAGCCATGACAACCATTCTTCTTCGCTGCTTTTGTGGAGGAAGTTGCTGCTTTTGTGGAGGAAGTTACAGCGCCACGTACAGGCTCGGCATATGTACTGCAGCTTTTCCAGCGTTTGGATGTAAACGGAGCCGTCTCGTGGAGCTTGACACAATCCGGTGTATATTGCGTGGGGACGGAAGGTTTTTTGCGGTTGCATTTGCGTTACTCCGATGCGTTTTGCCGTATTTGTCCTCGTGGAGCCGGGGCCTAAATGGTCTGCAGAGGCTAAAATCCCTGTGTCTCCCTCCCCCACCTGAAACGACTCCATTTGATTCCTTTGTTTACTTCTTGAACATAGTGTTGTCACTTTGTAACTAGAGATGTCCCGATCCGATCACGTGATCGGGGATCGGAGCTGATCACGTGATTTTCAAAAGATCGGAATCGGGAGAAAACAATCGGGGATCGGATTTTTTTTTTTTTTTTTTAATAAAATATTTTTCTTATTTTATTTAATGTTACAAAACAAAAATGACCATGTTCACGTCTTAAAGTCATCCTGAGGCCTTAGTTTTGGTTTAAAATTACACAACATCATGTATGTGTTGCTTCTTTTGGGCTTGTTTTCATAGACCTGGTTGCTTATTTCTCTCAAATCTGGCAACAGAGTGGGCAGGGCGCAGTGTCTAATAGTAGCAGTAAGCTAACAAGAGGCTACGTTCAGCTGGTGACTCGGGAGTCGGGACAGAGAAAATGTCAGGAGTTTGGAAGTATTATAAAATTGAAAGCGAAGGCAGTGTAACAGCCAGATGCAATGTTTGCAAGGCGGAGGTTCCGCGTGGTGGAAAGAACAGAGCTACGTTCAACACGACCAATCTAATACGCCACCTGAGAAACAAACACCAACAACAACACAACGAGTACACAGCGGCCACTCAGGTAACGGCACTGAAACAACCGACACTTTCAGAGACTTTTAAAAGGAAAGAGAAACTGCCCCAGAACAGTGAAAAGGCCAAAAAAATAACAGCCAAGATAGCTGAATTCATCGCGTTGGATGACCAGCCGTTATCTGTGGTGGAGAACGTGGGGTTTAAGGGACAACTTGAATGCTTTTCTCCTTTTTTTTCTCTTAATGCATTGCATAAAGATCGGATCGGGAAAAATCGGTATCGGCAGATTGTCAAAATCAAATGATCGGAATCGGATCGGGAGCAAAAAAAGGTGATCGGGACATCCCTACTTGTAACACTTGCACTTCTATTGGCTAGCGTTCCTACACATTGTACGTGATAGGCTAAGGGGCGGGACATCTCTAAGCTGTTCACCAATCACAACAGAGCCGGCCAGCTAACCAATCAGAGCAGACTGGGCTCTGGTTTCAGACAGAGGGTGAAAAGAGGTGCTGCAGCACAGGCAGTATGAGAACAATAAAGAGCTTTTAATACTTGGCAGAAGAATAGTACTTTTTTTCATTTAATTAAGAACTTTAATGCAGACGGTTTCAAGTTAAATTTAAGACAGAAATAAAGAAATATTCCCAGCAAGAGTGCAGACCAAGTTCCTTTCTCTATCAACTTGGAAGTGTCTATTCTCAGTTTCCCCCACAGGACGTTCAATAGAGGAAACTCTCTCCACTTCCCTGTTCTCCACTTTCCGTGCCAGTTGCTATTTACACAAGCTTTAAACGAATCAGTAGATATTAACACCAGTGGCCTGGGGTGGATCTGTGCTTTATCAATCAGCAAAACAGCTCTTAGTTAGTGGGCGCCCATAACCTATGACAGAAATGTATATATTGTTACACTGATTTGTGATTATTGAGCCATTTCAGTTCTCTCCACTTCTGTGTTCATTGTCTTTTAGAATTGTGAATTTGATGTTGCATTTCTGCTGCTTTCAGTCATAATAATAGTGCTGCAGACAAACAATGGACTTTTTCTCATGCATGTGGGTTAATATTAAACTGCATTTTAATCTAGTCAAACTAAAAAGTCAGTAACCTATATTTATCAGAGGCCTTTAAAGCAGGACTTGAGCTTCACTACTTCCCACTTAAATGGGTGGATGAGCTCCTTTTGTCACCTTCTGCACCATCAGCATATGTAGCCTATTATGTAAGACCCACTACTCCCTAGTGACTTCACCACATGTGACCTATTATAGTACTCCAGCTTCTCTTCGATGGCAACTATACTGTGATCATCACCAGCCTTAGGGAAGGGAAACTCCCGGGTGAGCATTTTTCCCACGAACAGGTCGGAGAAGAGCCACTAGGTGCGTGCGACCCATGCGTGCGTGCAACCCGTGCGTGCGTGCGTGTCATACATAGACAACGGTGTAGGCCTGAGGCAGCATCTGGATGTCCTGTTGTTTTTTTTTAAACAAGGTCACACCCCGGCATAATGCAATTTGTGAGTGCTGAATGAGCTGCACTGACTCGATATGCAACTCTGAGGCAGAATAAGCTGCACGCTGGGTATAAATTGAGTATTAACTTTACAGGTATTAGGTGAAGCTGGATTATTTTATATATTATACAGTCTTAGATTCATTTTGTACTCACTGACAGCAGCAGATGTGATAGCACGGGCTTCCTACTCCTTTACCAAAAGCTTAATTCAAACACATTTCAAGGTGCATTTTGGAGCTTTTCAAGCACCTTACAACTCTTGTGAATGACATATGTATATCCAGCATAAAGTATGTTACTATACTGATTATTCCACTACTTAGTCAGTTTAAATGAGATGTTTTTGTCCTTTTATCCAAACAATATTATTTGATGCGATTCTACAGAAGGTTCAAAAAGAACTTTGTTTTATAATGTGTTGCCTTTTTGTAAGAAGACTAAGCTTTCTTGATAAGCTACATTTCTAAAAAATGCCCTTTTAAAACCTTAAAAACACAACATGTATGTATCTTCAGGGATTTCCCGCAGCCGTAGTAACACTAGATTTATTTGAATTACCCAACACCCTCTAATTGCTGATGAATCAGGATCACAAGGTACGTTTTGCAATGTCTTGGAAACATTTATCTTGTGTTCTTTGTTTCATGAGGATCCTGGTGACTGTGGTGTTGTCAGTGCGTTGCTACCACTGGTTGCTATACTGTCAGTCAGGTGGTGCAGAGGAACTGGTTTATGTGAAGAGAGCTGACACTCAGCAGCTCAAGTCAAAAGCTGTACTGCATGTCAAGCACTTTACAAAGTGTTCAGTGTTTTTTTAAGACCATTGTGAAATTCGGGAAAAGTTGTATTTTTTTCTGCATCAGCACTTTTAACTTTCACATTCGTCGTACTCTGATGCACGACAGAGGACACTGAAAAAACACTTTGTACCAAACCTATGTTCATTTAAAAAGTGACAGTGGTATCAATACACTATTTTTAAGGACCATGTCAGTGAATAAAAATGGCTATTTAAAAGAATACACAACTAAAACTCATTTTGGACAATTCTGATCAATAAACTTGTTGAGGCGTGTGGCGCAGTGGGTAGGGTGTTGGTGTTCGGATCAGGGGGTCACAGGTTCAAACCCCACTGCAGTCAGCATTGCAAGCATGCATGCTTTTCTTAATTAATATGAAGCTATTTTACTCTTTACTTGCTGTAACAAATGTAAATGTCCCCTCTGTGGGATGAATACAAATATTCTGATTCTGATTACTTGTAACAAAGTATATTTTATATGTTATACTGTAGTAAATATGTACTACTTAAGTAAACATTCTGAATACTTCTTCCACCTCTGCATTACACTGTTGATATGATATAAAAGCTATTGAAACATGAGCGTTCATAAAAGTATTTAGAGGTTTGAAGGTTGTTTGGTTAAACAACTATCAACACACATTACGAGGAAAAATTGAATATTTTGCTGTGATCGCCGTCCCCTCAAGTTACAGGATCTGACAGATAAGAAAATAGTGTGTAACCCCAGACTTCCCCACTAACCAACCTCTGTGAGAAGATAAGACTATCAGGTGTCTGATATCAAGCAACAACAACACACTTTTGAGTGATTCAGTCATGAAACATATTAAGTTAACATATCAGGAGTTTTGGGGGGGATTTCAGACAAGAGGAAGACCAAAATAGGATCAGTAATTTAAAGCAACTAAGAACATTTACTCAAGTGCTGTACTTCAGTACAATTTTGAGGGAGTATTTACATTGTTGTACTTCTACTCCACTACAGTTCAGAGGTAAATGGTGTACTTTTACTCCACTACATGTATTTAATACCTTTAGTTACTTTACAGATGTGGATGAATGATGTGAAATATAATCAAGTGTTAAATCAGACTTTAGTTCCACCTGGAGTAAATCCACAAGCTACCCTGCAGTATACAAAGTCATTCAAACTAGCTGCACCTTTACCAGCTTTGATAACACTTTCATGATCAATCATTATAAAACATATCATATATATTATTCTGAAATTGACCAATCTGCACAATGACTACTTTTACTTTTGGTACTTTAAGTATATTTTAATGATAATACTTTTCTACTTTTACTTGAGGAACATTTTGAATGCAGGACTTTTACTTGTAACAAAGTATTCCTACACTTTGGTACTTCTACTTTTACTTAAGAACAACATCTGAGTACTTCTCCCACCTCTACCGATAAGAAAACAGTGTGTATCCCCCAGACTTCAACATTATCTAACCTCTGTGGGAAGATAGGACTATCAAGTGTCGGATATCAAGCAACAACAACACACTTTTGACAGATTCAGTCATCAAACATATTAACAAATTATACATTTTGGTGGAAAATCAGACAACAACATTATGTTAGGATAGGAACACAGTGTACCTAAAACTCACCTCTTTTATCCATCAGCCACATAAACAACAGCCAGGGGACAAACCCCACCGGGCCCCACAGCACCAGAACCGCGATGTCAGACTTGCTGAAGCCGAAAGCGTGAACGGCTGAATTCTGGATCGGACCCCAGAAGTTCCAGACCATCCCCTGCATGAGAGCCAGCAGGGAGAACAGGGTCAGAACCAGCCATCTTCTGCCGTACACTCGGCTGTTTACTGGGGCACTGTTTGTTATTGTTTCCGCATGAGAAGGGACGAGAAGCGGCTCCCTTTCGGACTCGGTGCTCGGTCCGGCACCCATGGTAAATAAAGTGTCCGTTTCGTGTTAAAATCCAGGGTTTAAAGGCTGTACGTTAACGGGGAATAGAGAATACTGTCGAGGACAACAACATAAAAACAGCCGATAGCTTCTTGTTTCTGTCAGTTGACTTCAATGCGCATGTGCAAACGTAAGTATCCTGGGTAGTGGAAACTGTGGTCCTCTGGCCGCCATTTTGGCTCGTCTGGTTTATTTTTTTCATGTAAGGCAATAAATAAATAAACAAAACAACAATATATATACAGTTCTATATTTCAGATTAAATATTTGTCAAATACAAAATGTGTTATTTTTGTTTGTTTAGTTCTTGGTTAAAATGTTCAAAATGTTGGTTTTAGAGTCAGCACATCTCTTTTCTTCTTCTTTTTTTTATTCAAGAATGTATGAAAATCATATATTTTGTATTAAAAAAAATAACATCAGGGGTAGCAAAAATTACATTAAAAAAATAAAGGAAATTATACAGTTTCATATTTCATTTTCAATATTTGTCAAACACACAATTAGATGTAATTCAGAATGTTTTTAATAGTGCTACAACAAAAGTCACATGACAGGTTTTCTTGCTTTAGTTCTGGGTTAAAGGAGATTCACCGTTACGTGACGTATGAGAAAACCTGTCATGTGACTTTTGTTTACTTCCGCCCACAGCCTCCACTGCACGTGTAGTGAAAGGTGAGTCGTTTTTAGTTGTTATGTCTCTACTATTTCTGCGAAGCTAGCTTTCCCAGGATATTAGCTCATTGGAAAAGCGAGCTAAGCTTTTCACAGTTCGTTAACAGAGACCCCGGCTAATAATAGCATGTTACAGCTGAGACAATAAGAGCTGAGGATAGTTTGGCAGTTTGAGAAGTTCATGTTGTCTTAATAGTTATCTGAGTTTTCTGCTGACGTCACACACTTGTACTTTTATTTGATGTAATTCTAGCGAGTAATTGAGTTGATCATTGTTGTCTTAAAAGTGCTTTACAGTGAATGCGATCAGGCGGGGAGTAATGATCAGATCTGACTGTCAGAAGTAGGCTATAATGTAAAAGTAAGGTACATGATCTGCGATACATGTGTAGTTGTGTTCAGTAAAATGTCAGAGCGATTACACATTTGAATATCTGATTTTATATAACTCAAACACATTGTCAAACGTAATGAGGATTTTTTTAATTCTTACAAAGATGTGAACTAGGTACCCTTATATAAACAATCTATGGGTACACCTTCAGTCAAATGCAATTGTGTAAATGCATTCTTCCCATAAAATACATTCCTGCTCCTAATTATAAGCTAAGTCTTAAGCTAATGTTTTCGGTTTTAATCTCACTTTAAAAACGGATCCATTAACTTTAGGTTCCTCATTCTGTCAGGTAGGCAAATATGTGTCTCTGAAGTTCAGATTTCCAGGTTGCAGGTTATATAATACCAACATATCAGGCATACAAGGAATCAGTTGTTTTGTTTTATGTATGTTTGACAGTGTGTGTGAGGTCCCCAGGAAGAATAGCCAATGCTCATGCTAGTGCTAATGGGGATCCTAATAAAGAACAAAAAACAAAGTTCACTTCCCTCCCAAACAGTAAAAGGACACACAAAAACAGTTATTCAGAAGGCATACAAATTCCCATGTATCCTGCTGAAGTTAGTATAAGCTATAGGCACAGGTATAACGTCTAAACCAGTTGTTTGATATCTAACCTGCTTCTATTTCCTCAGTGTTTTCAACCTACAGACCATGGCGGCCCCTGAGGTTAAATCCTTCAGTCCAGAGGAGGCGCAGCGGATTATTTTTCACCTGCAGCAGCCGGCAGTTTTCACCAACATGAGCGACGGCTGGCCGGCTCTCCGCTGGACTGCAGAGAAGCTTTCTGACTGCCTGCACAAACTCATCCGATTCAGACTGGGCAGGAAAGAGGAGACTAACAGTAAGATGGATCCTAAATAAAGCCATTTGTTGTTTGGTAATCTGGATTTAACATGCAGAATAAAAAACGACCCCAAAAAGATCAAATTCAGCTCAACCACCAAGGCTCACATTGTTTTTTAAATCACCAATAGTGTGGAAAATCGATGGATATACAGTATATTTCATATAACACCAGAATATAATAAGACAACTATTATATTATAGCAATGTTAATATAAGAAAAGTAACTTAGCACCAACAATTATGTTAAGTTTAGACATAAAAGGCCAATTTGTACCCATGGGGCTTTGCTGTCATCAGGTACGCTTCAGTAGTATTGGAAACAGTTCATGATACATCTGTTTATGAAATTTTTACACAATCAAACATCAATCAATCAATCTATTCTCTCATTAGAATTACCTGCAGTTGTATGTAGCTCATCCTCTGACATGTGCTCATGTACAGATTGGACTATAGTTAGCATGACGTAATACAAAATGTCACATAAGTAAAGACAACTAAACACTGAGGGTTCTAGCCTGGAGCATCTGGTATATTTTGGCATCCTTGTGGCTCTGAAAAAGCCGCAGTAATGATTCCTCCTGTGATAAATAACAGTGAGCCTGTCCTCTGATAAAAGCCAGCTAATTACATTTCGGAATAATTTCTCAGCTGCAACAGCTGACAGGAGGGCATTGCTCACGAGAGATTATAAATGCCATCACTCAACCATTGACACACTTTGTTTACTAGAACAAACACAAGAATAAATCGCTACATCTGTGATTTATTCTTCTCATCAAAATGGGTGAAATGAAATGTCATGCCTCTGTGATGATGCATAATACTGTGATACTGGTTTATAAATGGCATTCTTTAAGCGTAGAACTGTGGGATTGTTTTACAGAAACGTTGTCACAATTTCCCAGTGATTACTCTCTTTCTTGTTGTTTTTCTTGCTCTCATAGCACCTCTGTTTGAAACCCAGTGTTCCTACGTGGAGGCAACACTGGAGCACTTCCTCCTCTGGACACAGGGCCAGAAGGAGGGCGATGTTGGGCCTTTCTGTGAATACCCCAAATCAGAGTATTGGGCTTACGCCGACTACAAATACATCGCCCTATTGTTTCAAGACCAGCCGGCCATGTTTGAGGTAACAAGCTTCCCGTGTTCATGCATGTTATGAAATCCTGTGACATGTCTCCATGCTTTAATGTTCAAAAAGCTCTTTATTTTTCTCATACTGCCTGTGCTGCAGCACCTCTTTTCACCCTCTGTCTGAAACCAGAGCCCAGTCTGCTCTGATTGGTTAGCTGGCCGGCTCTGTTGTGATTGCTCAACCGCTTAGAGATGTCCTGTTGAAGCGCTAGCCAATAGAAGCACGGAAGTAAACACAGGAGTCTAATCGAGGTGCTTCAGGAACTTCTGGATTTTAGCTTTTGCAGACCATTTACATGCACTAAAACCTATATAACACACTTCAAGAAAGGGAACCCCCCCCCCCCCCACCCCTAAAAGTATAATAGGGCCTCTTCAAAAGTGTTTTCCATTATATAAATATGCCGTTGTGTGTTAGCATGTTTTTCTGAATTTACAAACACGATCACATTCAGTGAATCTGTATGATTTGGATTTACACATTACCCACAATCATGATATCACATCCTGTAGAAGCACATAGTTAAAGAAAATATTTTGTACGTGCTATTAACTTTAAAACTAATTGCAAGTTTATCAACAAACTAAACTTTTAATTTGAAAGAGCCAATATATTTCCTTTTATTACTTTTTTCTAAGATGGTTATTTTTATTCTTACACATTTGATCCATTATTTTGACATTTTTCAATTTAATGTTAAGCCATTGCTCATAACGACTTTTTATTAACTGCTATTCTTGTCCTCTGGAAAGTAAAAGACATCAAAGTGCCATCCTTTCTAAAGCCACTGCCACAAATTAATTTCCTTTTTTTTATCTCTGTGGTACATTTTTATTACGCATCCACCTGCAATTATAACCAGCTGACATTCATGCCTTTAAGACAGACAGACAGGCGGGGGCTTTTACAGGATAAATGGCGCTGGGAAATAAAGACTGAGATTGACCAGTCTGTCGTTTAAAGCTGCCTGCATGTATGCTAATGACTTCATTATTTAGGATGCTACACCTTAGTGCGCTGACAGGAGTGATTGACAGACCGGTTTTCTTTAAAAGATGACAAACACTGTACAGAGACTTCCGTTGGTCTCTTATAATAGGCCCTGTCAAAGCAGATGATGAGGTGGGGGTGAGCTTATAGCCGCGTTGTGAAAATGTCATGTTATCACGGACAAAAAGCACATTAAAAGTAATTATTTCTCCCATTATTTCGGATTGATAATGGACATTTGAATGTGGAGTTTGTGTTGCAAGCAGAGGTGGGAAGTAGTGGAGTAGAAATACCTCGTTACTGTACTTAAGTACATTTTTCTGGTATCAGTACTTTACTCCACTACTTATTTTTCTGATGACTTTTTACATTTTGAACACAAATACCTGTACTTTCTACTTCTTACATTTTGAACTCAAATACCTGTACTTTCTACTTCTTACATGTTGAACCCAAATACCTGTACTTTCTACTTCTTACATGTTGAACTCAAATACCTGTACTTTCTACTTCTTACATGTTTAACTCAAATACCTGTACTTTCTACTTCTTACATTTTGAACACAAATACCTGTACTTTCTACTTCTTACATTTTGAACCCAAATACCTGTACTTTCTACTTCTTACATGTTGAACACAAATACCTGTACTTTCTACTTCTTACATGTTGAACTCAAATACCTGTACTTTCTACTTCTTACATGTTGAACACAAATACCTGTACTTTCTACTTCTTACATGTTGAACTCAAATACCTGTACTTTCTACTTCTTACATGTTGAACACAAATACCTGTACTTTCTACTTCTTACATGTTGAACACAAATACCTGTACTTTCTACTTCTTACATGTTGAACCCAAACACCTGTACTTTCTACTTCTTACATTTCCCAAACAGGCTGGTTCCTTTAGTTTGAATGTGTGTTTGGTGGCGTGATCATTATTATTTAGAGTCATTGCGTGCCTATTGATTTGAACACGATCCGTGTATCCATCATTTCCTGGTCTTCTCTAAAGAAGAGGGACCAATGAAAACGTTGTCATGTTGCCGTTGTTCAGCATGGAAACATTCATTAGCTAACAATGACATTATTGTTCTATTAATATAAAGGGAGGTCAGGTACTCTTTAAAACAGCTGCTAGTTATGGGTACTTTTTACTGAAGTACATTTCAAAGCCCATACTTCTTTACTTTCACTTGAGTAAAGAAGTCAGTACTTCTACTTTTACCAGAGTATTTTTAAACACGAGTATCTGTACTTCTACTTGAGTAAAGTGTACTTTTGCCATCTCTGGTTGCAGGATGTAAAGTGGTCCCAGTTTGGTTTTGAGGGGCGTAATGGGAGGGAGAGCACATTGTGGATCGGCTCAGAGGGTGCCAACACGCCATGCCACCTGGACTCATACGGCTGCAACCTGGTGCTGCAGGTACAAGGACGGTAAGAGGCATCGTAGCTGTGAGAGACATTGTTGGGAAAATCCTGAATGTACTCTTCCAATATCAGAGTACACATGATAACAAAGGTATCCCAACTGTAGCTGTGTACATGACAGGATGTATGATTACCTAGAAGAGCATCAGGACTGTTTGAGGCATATGATAGCTATGTGATTAACATGATGATTCAGCCTCTATGGAGATAGACATATGACAAGCATGATCATTTTGACGTGGAGCTAATCTGAAGTAAACATTGAATACTGCTTTATATTCCTCCATCTTGTGACTGTGTAACTCCCTCTCTTGGATATCAGCATGTGAAGGACACTGTTCAGGAACTAGTTGATGCTACTTCCATTCTTGAGAGGATAATAAATACATGTATCCTGAGATTGAAGCTCAAGCCGGTGACGAGTGATATTTTTCTAACAGAAATTATTTTAAAATCAAATCAAAAGTGTATTTATATAGCCTAATATCACAAAACACTTTTGTCTCAGTGGGCTTTACAGATTAACAAACATAACAGTCTGAACTTGCTGTTGATGTATTGTGATTTAAAAAAGGTGTCTATTATCATCTGGCCGGGGACAAACCCTGGAAATTAGCAATGTTGGCTAAAACAAATGCCCCATTTTCTGTTTTTTGTGACAGTTGATCAATAGCCGCTTTCACATCAAGTACTTTGCCGTACTTAGTTCCCAGCACTTAGTACCCCCATGGAACTAAAGAGCAGATCGCGTTCACACCGGAATAAGTTCCCTGAGGGAAGATTACGCAAATGAAGCCGCTGACGTCACTTCTTCTTCTTCTGCTTTGGGTAGGCCGCAAACCACTTCACGGCGTATACTGCCACCCGAAGTCCCCGGCCGGAAGTCCCCTAGCCTTCCAAGTAAATCGCCGACACCTCCTCATCACTCCACCGCTCCCATGTTTTTTTTTGTGTTGCCATAAGTTATTCTCTCTCCGTTGGTGCGCGGGGCTAATGCTAATGCTAATAATGCTAATGCCAGCAAATACAATGGCGGCTTCACAAAACGTTTCAGAGTTTTACGGGCCATGGTTTGCAATCCGCCCAGCCAATCAGAAATTGGTACTTTGTTCTCCCCAGGCTAGTACCACCTCTCTAGCAGGCACTAAAAATGGGGGTAAAAGTTCTCTGAACTAAGTTCTCTTTTTGGTGTGAACGCAAAATTCCAGGCACTAACAGAACTAAACGGGAAAAGTACGAGGGAAAAGTACGAGGGAAAGTACTCCGGTGGGAAAGCGCCTAAAGGGGACTGTCCACGACACTATAAACAAATAAACTAAACTTGTAATACTTCCTGTGTGCAGTAAGCGCTGGCACCTCTTTCCTCCAGAGGACACCCCCCACCTTTACCCCACCAGGATCCCCTTTGAGGAGTCCAGCGTCTTCAGCCAGCTGGACGTCCTGCACCCGGACCTCAGGAGGTTCCCAGGGTTTCATGGAGCCAGAGCCCACATCGTCACTCTGCAGCCCGGACAGGTCAGGACTCTTGACACAGTATTATCATTGTTTTGCAGATCCTTAAAAAGTCTTAAAGTAGTCTTAAATGCAGTTTTAGATACTGGTTGGAGTTTTAATGGATTTGTAGTGCACTGTTGTGTTTATTTTATGTTAAATGCAGGCGGGAATTGTCTTCCATTGGTCAGAAAATGTTGTTTTTGTTCATTAAAAGGAAGTATTGCTCTCTTATTTGCTCAGAATTTTCTTTATTCAATTGAAAATAGACCAAATTATTGATTAATTAAGAATGTAATGAGCTAATTAGTCTAGATATGTATGAAATGTATAATTGTATGTTGCAACCATAAGAAGACTATTAGAACAAAAATAAATATTTACATTTGACAGCTTAAGCCCATCTGAAAGAAGAATAACAAATTATAATCTCCTACAGATATTGCATGTCCTCAGTGAAATTATATGTAATTGTACAACAATTGAAATAAGACATTTTATCATCTGTTGCGTTCTTCAGACTTTGTCAAATCCACCATAAGTCTCCTGCTGATGTTATGCAACACTGTGTCTCTATTACCTTTTTAAACCGCTTGTGACACCGAGGCAATAACTGTAAAATATTGCTTTATTGGTCCTTAAGAACAGAACATGTGAAAGAAAACTCAACGGTGAGATTTATTTGTCGTGAAATGTGTGAAGCACGGCAGCTGTCGTGACTTGTGTCCCAATTAAGATGTGGCCTTCAGTTATATTGCATCACCTTCAACGGACTGCAGCTCTTTTATAGCAGGAAGTGGAAGGTTAAGCTGCGTTAAAGTCAGAAGCATCAGGAGGAGAGTAACAGGGTCAAGTGACAGTTGATCAAGTGACAGGGCTATCAGTTTACTGCCAATTTATCTACTTTAAAATCAGGTGAGTTCAGCGAGGGCGACATTTATGATTGAGGTGTTGTGCGGTGTCCTGATTTCCAGCCCTCGGTTACTTTTAAAGTCGTTTTTCAACTCGTAATTACGGCAGAACTCTTTGATGTTTTCGTCCCACTTTGCCTCGTTTCAGATTCCAGCTGCATTGTTTTTGTTTTCCAAGAGTCAAAATGGTGACAAAGCAATTAGCCTCCTGTCTCTTTTCACTATCTGCGGGTGCCTGACGCTTTAAATACGGTCCTATCAGCAGCAGCAGCAGCACATCCAGGATATCTCTGAAGGGGGAGGGGGGGGGGGGGGGGGGGGTTCTGCAGGTTAAAGGTCACCACTGATAGGGCCAAAACAAGATAATCAATATAAAAGTATTATTGAGCTTCATTCTACTTATATTGTCTTAATGTTGTATATCCAGCGCACGCCTTTCAATTACAGTGTTTTTTGTTGCCCCCCCCCCCCAACCCCCAAAAGCACACATTTTCTAGACAGGACAAGCCAGGATGATGGAAAGCGAGCCATTTTTAACCCTAACACAGTCTATTGTAATTATTTGGATATATTTTTTATATATATTTACACTTGTAATGTAATGTAATGTATTTATTTTATTATTGATATTATTTATTTCATTTTTTTCCATATAGTCCCACTTGTTGTTAGAGCTGATAGTTTTCCATTTCATCTTGTGTTGTGCCACCTTTAGATTTGTTGTGGCAATCATTTTTTAAACACCTTAAATTCAGATCTCTCCTTGATTGAGTCTTACCCCGAAGAATAATTGGATGATCGCTACAAGTCGACTTCGATTATTTCCACCATGCCCTTTTGAAATACTTCTGCAGTTGACACCGAATGTAAAGTTTTGGTTTCTACAGCAATCTCCTGATAGATCGCTGCACCTCTGCAAATCAAATCAGAGGACGGATCATTCCTCTTGTCTTGTCAGACCGCAGCCAGCGGATGAATCAGCACTGCTGACGAGGCAGGGAATCAATAATGAGGCTCCTCATTTTAATAAAGTCCCTGTATTGTAAGTCAGTGGTTCCCAACCGGGGGTACGGGGACCCCTAGTGGTACTTGAGGGGATTGCAGGGGGTACGTAGAAAGATTAGGGATTGCAATATACTGTATTTTCACACAAAAAACATGTTAAAATCAATTTTCATAATCCTGGTGTCCTGTCAAGGATTCAAGGCTTTTATTGTCATGTGTGCATAGCTACAGTGTACCATTTTTATTTCTTTCTTTACTTGTAGTACTGATACCGTCCACTAGACTCCTAGTTACGTCGCGAGCTGTGTACATGATTTCGTTCGGCAGCCAAATACCGCAAAATAATCTGTTTGTGTGTATTGTGTGTAAACACCGGCTGTTGTTATGCCTGCTGTGACGTTAAGTTACCGATTGTAATTATGCCTTTACAAGCTTAAAAGTTGTATTTATCATCTGAATTTGGCGAAACAAGTTTAATATTCTAAAAACCAAGACTTTGTTTATTTAAAATCAGATGAAAACAAACTGTCACGGACCCTGCCGTGTTATTTATGATTACTATACGCTTTTCATTCATAATTTCAGTGGGAGGGAGGGGGAGCGGCGCTGAAGAACAGCAGAGTGCGGGTTGACAGGTGTCTGTGTTGACATTCCCCTTATTGTGGAATAAGGGGAATGCAGAGACAGGCTACAAGTGTCTTAGGTTCAAGTTAGACAACTAATGTCTGGGTAGTGTTCATGACTTCATGTTTATGTCATCTTAATGGTTCATCTTAATGCACACACATTTTCCGTGCTTTCCAATAGTTTAAAATAGTTGTATCCCACTGTTAAATAACCTGTTCAATACAAACATGCCACTTGTAAAAATTAAATAACATTTCTGTGAACTGATATTTGTTTAGTGAGATTATTAGAGGATGTTCCCTGAAAGATTGTAAAATGTCAATGAAGATGTCAGACTTAGTACATTTGTTAATAATTGTGTGTGTGTGTGTGTGTGTGTGTGTGTGTGTGTGTGTGTGTGTGTGTGTGTGTGTGTGTGTGTGTGTGTGTGTGTGTGTGTGTGTGTGTGTGTGTGTGTGTGTGTGTGTGTGTGTGTGTGTGTGTGTGTGTGTGTGTGTGTGTGTGTGTGTGTGTGTGTGTGTGTGTGTGTGTGTGTGTGTGTGTGTGTGTGTGTGTGTGTGTGTGTGTGTGGGTGTGTGTGTGTGTGTGTGTGTGTGTGTGTGTGTGTGTGTGTGATGTGTGTGTGTGTGTGTGTGTGTGTGTGTGTGTGTGTGTGTGTGTGTGTGTGTGTGTGTGTGTGTGTGTGTGTGTGTGTGTGTGTGTGTGTGTGTGTGTGTGTGTGTGTGTCCCACCACCATCCAAGTTGCCCATCCCTGGTCTATATACAAGTCATTGGAATATTGATATATATAAGTCCCCAGAACTATCAAAGCTTATGAAAGACAATCAAACTCAAGTCTCATCTTTTTTTTTATTCTACTAATTCATCCAAAAAAGAAATAAAGAAAACTGGAGAACTAAATAAATAAAAGTTAGGGCAAGAAAAAAATAATTGCATATGGGATGGGAATTTGAAAGCAAATGTATATTCGAATATTCGACCCCCAAAAAAACGGTTAACCGAAATATACATATCCTAAAAAATAAAAAAATACATGTTCAAATAAGTATAGAAACCAAGTCGAATTTGTCAAATGTATTGAACTGGTGATCACAGTTTGAACAGTTGACAGCTATAGGCCTACAGCTTTCATTCTTAAAACATAACTTGGTTTTTAAATGAAAGAGGGATCATACACGAACAACATAACGGGTTAGGGTAACGTAACCCTATCACAACAGAGATCAACAACCTGGGCCTATGCACAGAATGCAGCTATTCAATACTCATTCTTGTTTAAGAATATGAGCATGTCTACTCAGGGGAGAGGCGGGTGCGGAGACGATTCACAATCAGGCCAGCTGTAGAGAAGACCCTCTCAGCTGGAATTTGGGCATAAGATGAGGTTTGAGTCTGCGTGATCTGCGTGTAGGGAGGGGCAGCAGCCATATCATTAGCTAGAACTAGCTAGATCTGATGGATTTGGACATAAACGCGAGTGAAGTATAACCGGGCGCGAGAGAGAGAGATCAGCACCTGCAGCTCTGCCCGCTGTGAGGGACCGGTGAGCGGAGCAAAACACACCTTTAGACCTAACACACTTAGCCATGGCACTGTAGTATACATTGAATTATTCCATTTGATCATATGTAATCAACTTAGGCACCCCTCCCAAAAACAAACAAATATTCATAACTCATATTCTCATATCTGAATAATTTTGAATATTCGATTAATCGTTCCCATCCCTAATATATAAGAAAACTCGATATAGGGTCATTTTCTGCACATGTCAATAGCATATTTTTTGAAAAGGAAAATACTATATATAAATATATACATATGTACACATGTACTTGGCAAATGAATAATAATACTAATATATGCATATAAACATTGTGAACACTTATTTTCAAGTGACTCACAGTGTTCACACATACACAAAATATACATAAGCACCATATGTTCAAGTGTATAAGTACACAAATGCACTCATATACACCAATACAAATATTGCAAGGCAATGTCCAGGGCTGAAATAATAATTCAACCCCATAACGATGAAAATAAATAAGAAGGAAAAATAAATAACAAGCAATGTAGACCATATTAAATAAATAAAAAACAATATTTGTTAGCTGGAGTCATCTGCAAACTTAAACATTTCAAGCTTGAGTCTTCACAAAAGATGTTGAAACTGCTAGAAGTGAGTCAATATTATTATTTTTCACTGACAATAAGTGTAAATGTCAAGTTTGAATGCATTTGTATTAAAGATGAGTTTAACAAGTGACTTGTATCTAAGGAGCAGTTAGGTTGAATACGATTACAAAGGGTTTCACACAAGAAAAAAATGTAAGCGAATCATCACAAATGAGTGAGGGGGTTCTTATAGAATGGCGACCAGCTCAAGGGGGACGCGAGACAAAAAAAGGTTGGGAACCACTGTTGTGAGAAGAGATGGCAAAAGTACACACATCCTTTACTCAAGTAGAAGTACAGATACTCGTGTTTAAAAATACCGACTAAACTTCTTTACTCAAGTAAAAGTAAAGAAGTATGGGCTTTGAAATGTACTTAAGTAAAAAGTACCCATAACTAGCAGCTGTTTTAAAGAGTACCTGACCTCCCTTTATATTAATAGAACAATAATGTCATTGTTAGCTAATGAATGTTTCCATGCTGAACAACGGCAACATGACAACGTTTTCATTGGTCCCTCTTCTTTAGAGAAGACCAGGAAATGATGGATACACGGATCGTGTTCAAATCAATAGGCACGCAATGACTCTAAATAATAATGATCACGCCACCAAACACACATTCAAACTAAAGGAACCAGCCTGTTTGGAAAATGGAAGAAGTAGAAAGTACAGGTATTTGGGTTCAACATGTAAGAAGTAGAAAGTACAGGTATTTGTGTTCAAAATGTAAGAAGTAGAAAGTACAGGTATTTGTGTTCAAAATGTAAGAAGTAGAAAGTACAGGTATTTGGGTTCAACATGTAAGAAGTAGAAAGTACAGGTATTTGTGTTCAACATGTAAGAAGTAGAAAGTACAGGTATTTGTGTTCAAAATGTGAGAAGTAGAAAGTACAGGTGTTTGTGTTCAAAATGTAAGAAGTAGAAAGTACAGGTATTTGTGTTCAACATGTAAGAAGTAGAAAGTACAGGTATTTGGGTTCAAAATGTAAGAAGTCAAAGTAAAAAGTAGTCAGAAAAATAAGTAGTGGAGTAAAGTACTGATACCAGAAACATTTAGTACAGTAACGAAGTATTTGTACTCCACTCCTTCCCACCTCTGGTTGTAAGTCACTGTACTGGGGGGGAAGGCGTATGCTGCCATCTAGTGGAGGATCAGCACCGCCATGTATTCCCTCGACATGCATCACAGGACAAAAGGAAAAGGAGTGTGTGATCAATTGAAGCTTCTGCTGACATGTTAATCTGCTCTGCTCAGGTGCTTTATGTCCCCCAACACTGGTGGCACTACGTGGAGTCTTTGGATCCCATCACTGTCAGCGTCAACTCCTGGATCGAGATGGTAAGGAACCCAATGCTGAATTATTCAACCACCCTGAAATAATAAAAAGAGAATCATCATCTTTGCTTTCCCTTGCCCTGAAAACCTCTTGATCCTAACAGCGTTCAACATTTAAATGTAGGCCCCGTTCACGTTGAATAATGAACCGGTCCGATAGTAAAATATTCCCTGTCATTATGATGAGTGTGTGCTGCATTTAAAAAAAGCTCCCCAGCACCAGACAAATGTTTATCTAAAGAGCAGGTTCCTCTCTGCAAGGTCAAAGACAAACTCCCTCCAGACTGTCTCTATCATTCAGTGTAATTCCCCCGATGCTCTGAACTCATTCTCACTTTGCTTCTGTTCCCGTTCAGGAGGAGGACGACGTGGCGAGAGTTGGTGAAGCTGTGACCAAGGCTGTCGTCTGTGCTTTCAAACGTGATGAAAACCCTGAGGACTGGCTCAATCCCACCGAGGTAGCAACGATATGTTCCCCCTTACTTTTTTTATGTTAAATCGTTTTTATAATCGTTATATCTTTGACCTTCTCTTACAACTTATATCCTTATGTTGTTTATGTTTGCACCTCCATACACAAAGCAAATTCTTGTTTATGTGTAAACGAAGCTGGCAATAAACTTGATTCTGATTCTAAAAATCAAACAAAGCCTTGCACAGTAAACATCAACTTAACCATAGTTTGAGTCAGCAGCTTCTTTCAGTTATATCCATCTATCTATCTACCTATCTATCTGTCTATCCGTCTATCTATCTATCTATCTATCTATCTATCTATCTATCTATCTATCTACCTATCCGTCTATCTATCTATCTATCTATCTACCTATCTATCTATCTATCTATATATCTATCTGTCTATCTATCTATATATCTACCTATCTACCTATCTATCCATCTATCTATCTATCCATCTATCTACCTATCTATCTACCTATCCGTCTCTATCTATCTATCTATCCATCTACCTATCCGTCTATCTATCTGTCTATCTATCTATCTACCTATCCATCTATCTATCTATCTACCTATCCATCTATCTATCTATCTATCTGTCTATCTATCTATCCATCTATCTATCTATCTATCTATCTACCTATCTACCTATCTACCTATCTACCTATCTACCTATCTACCTATCTACCTATCTACCTATCTACCTATCTATCCATCTATTATATCTATCCATCTATCTATCTACTCTTTAGACTTCCTCCCCACCACTATGGAGATGTGTTGAATGAATTGCATTTGGATATAAAAGCAACCACACAGAGGAGGCCTTTTTTAAGTGGCTGGCTGCCAGTTTTTGGGATCTCTCTGTGACAGCTTGTTTGTGTTTTGTCTCTGCAGGAAGGCGTAGCGTCTCATGATGAGAACATGCAGTGTGTGAACCTGGCAGTGAGAGCTTGTGCTCAAAGACAAAGAGGCTCCTGCCACAGAAACCTGACCCGGGACCCAGGAGACAGCCGCACATTAAAGAGGGACTCCACAGGACAAGTCAGGAAAAACAGCAATTTGTTCACAGATTCTGCACCTTTCAGTATTCCCTTCGGACCACATCTCATCCCTGTGTGCTGTCAGCAAGAAACCAAGAAAGATTTGGAGGTCAAACCTTCCACGAACTGTGATGTCAAATCTCAGGAGGCCTGCACCGTCAGCTCAGATGCAGCACAGAGGACATCCGCTGTCAGATTGCAGCAGGACAAATATGAATGTAGCGATCAATGTACAGCGCGTGACGGTGCAGTTTTGACCTCAAAGATCTCTGTAGAGGATTATGAGGAGCCTATGCACTCAACAATAAGCACTAACGACCTGTTGGACTGCCTGCTGCATCCTGATATCATCACCCGTGTCACTGAGCTGTTACTGGAGCGGCACACAGGAAGTCGCAGCGCCATGGCACGGTCCTAGCTTTAATATTCACTGTAAACATTTCCTGTTTCCTTTTCCAGCAAACAGGGGAAAGCTACAAAGCTCTTTGTATGACTGGTGAGGATATAGTGTTGCAGGAATGAGTCCTAAAACCCAGAAAGGGGTCAGCATTTTTGCATTTGTGGTTCACTCAATGGGTTTTTGTCAATGGGATTTGGTTAGAAACAAGAGCTGTGGTTAACACAAGCTTAAGAGATTGTCACAATGTCTTTAACCAAATAAAATACTTAAATGAATTATCTCGCCATCTTGCTTCTTGACAAAGTACACATTGCCATGCTGTGGATTGAACCACTGACTTATGATTGTAAGACATCCATTTACCCCTTGAACCAAAGCCACCAGTACATATTTCCATAACATTTTACCAGTTGGGTTTATACGTAGATTAGAGTAAGGGTTAGGGCTAAAAGGGGAATTGGCTTGGACGCTCAAAGCTAATAATCTGCATTACTGTATGTTTTGGTGGGTATTTTCATACAAAGACAGAAAATAGACAAGCAACAGAAATATATAGAAACTGGGTAATATACAGGATACATTACAAATGACACTTGATGATAGATAAAGGCTTTCCAATATTGTTGGAATAACAATAGAGAGGCCGTAGAGACAGGCTTCAATGCCCTCTCAGAGCATTATATAGGGCGGGATGAGAGCTCTCCTACTTCGGTAAAGTTCATTACAAAGATGTTGACAGATTTGATCATTCCACATCAATAACTCAAACACAAAATGTTCTCAAAACACAAACCCCATCCCTCAACAACCATTGTAAGGTGGACAACAAGCCAGAAAATATATCAAAACAAGCCACAGGGCGCCAACCTACGAGCTAAACGACTTCTATCTGCAGCCGAGTGAGCAGGGACCGTGCAACACTGTAAAATAACAAATATACAATACAACGGCTCCTCCGTGGATGCATTTCCGGGAACGGTGGAGTCGTGACACACGGCCGGACTTATCTCAGCCAATGACAGCTCTGCATGCATCCCCTGGATATTATTTTAGTAACTGCTTTCATCGCGACACGATGTTTACAGTGAGAACAGCTGTGAGGTCTGTGCAGAAAGCAGAGCAGTGTGCATAATATATATCACTCAGTATAGCAGGCCTACATTACTCTCTGGTTTTGTATGCTGTAGTTTAGTAGATATTGTAGTGCCGAGAGACTGGAGTTGGAGGCGGTGTATCGAAGGTACTAAGTTAGCTTTATTGAGCATCAGAAACACACATGTCATCAGCTTGAAGCCCGGGAAGAGAAGAAAAGGAGGGCACACAGGAAGTACAGGTAACATGTGTCCGTGTGGAACAATACCCCCAACCCACAGTTCCGTGGTGAATTATGTCAATCACCACACAAGCCCCCCCAGAATTCAACCATGGACACAATCCTCGCGTCCGGGAGGAAGCACCACAGGGGCCGAGGAGGGCGGGGCCGCAGGCAGGGGCAGGGGGGCCCCAACGAGGGCGAGGGCCATGGGAGGACGGAGGACACCTGTCCCTGTGTCGCATGACCCTGAACGGACCCTCGGAAGGGGGCCGCAGGAGAGGGCAGGGGCCCCAACGAGGGCGAGGGCATCCCCACCGGGGTGTGGGGGCAAGCCATGGAACAGGCCGTCGTAAGGGGGCCGCGGTAGGCGTCGTGGCGAATGAAGACAACATCCGCCAACCGTAGAAAGCTCGGTCGCTGTGCTGCGACGTGGGGACGAGCGTGAATGTCCCGGTGGTCCCCAGCAGGGAGGAGCGCTGCCCGGCCGCAGGCGAGGGCACAGCGTCGGCGGGCACGAAGTCCTCGGGAGGAAGGAGCGGTATCCCCGGGAGGCAGGAGCCGTGGACAGGGGAGAGGCCAGACGGGGTCCAGAAGTGCGCCACCCAGGTGCAGATGAAAGCGTGGGCGACTTCCGAAGCCGCCGTCGAGGCGAACCGTGAGCCGCGGTTAGAGGAGAGGCCAGACAGGGTCCCGAAGCGCGCCACCAAGGCGCCGATGAAAGCGTGGGCGACGTCCGAAACTGTTGCCGAGGTGAGGGAAGAGGCCAGACAGGGTCCCGAAGCGCGCCACCCACGGGCCGATGAAAGCATGGGCGACGTCCGAAACCGTCGAGGTGAGGGAAGACGGGGTCCCGAAGCGCGCCACCCAGGCGCCGATGAAAGCGTGGGCGACTTCCGAAACCGCCGTTGAGGTGGTGAAACAGTGAGAGGGTCCACACGAGGCCGCGCCTCAGCCTCCGCCTCTGCCTTCACCTCCGTCTTCACCTCCATCTGATTTGCTCAGCTGGATTCTGATTGGTCTGCTGGCTCTAATGTTCCTGTACAGCTGTCTGATCACCGCTTTCTACATCAGACTGACGGTACCTGTCTCTCTGACCGTCTTTCTGTCATAATCCTGGGGTTGATTGTGTTTCCTGTTTTATTTTTAAATGTTTTTTCTCCTATCTTGTTTCACTTCCTGTGTCTGTGTTTTCCCGCCTTGCCAAGCTGTGACAGACGCAAATTGAGATGATTTTGTCATAATTTGATTGACAGGCTAGAGAGGGCTTTCACCTTGTATCAGATGTTAATCAATCAATCTGTCATCATTGTCGTTGCCTGCATTACGCCTTACTGGCACAAAAATGCTACCGGCAGAGTATGATGCAAACTTTGACAAAGAAAAGGAGGTACAGCTACAAAAAGTCTGGGAGACTTTTTACTCATGTGTGAAGCCGGTGGAGGGTAATTCCCGGAGAGTTTTTTGTGACATTTGCTAGAGTTTCTAGCATCGAGTTGAATACTACTTGAAGTGCAAAAACTAAATGCAAGACCTAATGCATACGCTCATGGTCAAGATATATGAAGATTATATTGAATAGTAGGGAATCAGGCAGGTACAAAACAACACCACATATCCGGACCCAGACAGAAAGAAAGACAACGAACACAAGACAGACTTATATACACACACAGGACTAATCACAAAGACAAGACACAGCTGTGGAGGACAGGCAGAAACACAAGAGCAGGTGAAAAGAATCAGACCATCAGAAAGGCGGGAAAACACAGAGACAGGGCAATAAATGATTTACTATATCCACATTATCAATACTAATGCCTCCCAAATGTTGGCAAAATAAGCAATGGTCTATAAAACTATAAGTTTCAGTGCAGCGACACAGATCCTGAGAACACCTCATACGTATACGAGGAAAGCTCCTCGGCCGTGTTCACCTGTGGACATCTACTGTGGGTAGCCATCGTTCTTCATCTTCGGCCTCATCATGTAATGAGGGGGTGTTTTTCATGCCGCTGTTATCATAATTGCAAATATTTCTATTGTAAATGAGTGGAAAAGTCCTGCAACAACTGCAGATAAACAGCAGGGTGAGACAGAGACTGCCTATGCTTGTATTATGTATGCAATGTTGCACCATGATGTTATAGATTTGATTGGATATGTATATATATATATTGTAATTTATTATGAATTTTAAACTTCTTTTCTATCAATGCAACATTTTCTTACAAACTAAAAGCCAAAAATATTTTATATTTAGACATGATATAAATGTAAGTGTATTGATACAGAACTATGCTATACAGAAAATACATGCATGTACAGTATATTTCTAGTCCCTATTTTAAAAAAAAGTGAAGATTTATAACAATAAAATCTAAAATTAAAATCTATAGAGGTCATGTTATGTATTCTAAAAGGTATAATGGGCCTACTGCAAATCCTCAAACACAATTATTCTTATAGAAATCTGGTAATGAGTTGTTCACTCACTGTCTGCAGCAGGAATGAATCTCATTGAACTGAAACACAGATCACTCTTCTCATGCTCACAGTGAATATGAGAGACAAGTAGGCTGACAAAAAAAACCAAGCAGCCGGTGTCTGACGGTCTGTGAACTGCAGGCATTGCAAACATGTTAGTGAGGGTGTGGGCAGTGGCGGCTCCAGAGTATTTTTGTTGGGTAATCTATGGTAGGGCTAACCCATACAGTGGTGGGGCTCAAGTCAGTATTTGTCTTGTAGTAAACATAAAGGGCGACCTGGAGCCAATCCTGCAATTTCCCCACAGGTGAAAGAGTTGACATGCTGAAAACCCAACCCCTGCAGAGGGGTCTGGGGGATTCTCCCCCAGGAGATTTTTTGAAATACTAACACAAAATACACATTCTGGTACTCTCTTGAGAAGAAAAATAAATACATCTATTACTACACATTTAAAAAAAAATGAATGCCATTTTTGTTTTTTGTTACTTTGTTCTGAAAGCTGAACCTGCTGCAGCAGTGCTGCTCCTCACAGAGAAGAGGGAAGAAGCTGTGTGAATTACTTTACATTGTGGATAGCCCCCATTGTTCTGTGTGTCAAAATGAAAGACAGCCCACACCTATCAATCATCAAACCGTGGGGTCTTATTAAATCAACACGTAATGTTGTATCGATGTATAGAGATGTACTACAGCAAAAGTATTCTCCGTCGGGACTTCCTGTAACAACACCACGCCGTTATCGTGATTCTGATTGGCCAGAAGACATTATCAAAGATGTTTTATTGAGAAGATGATCACTACGTGACAAAAGTTTTCAAAACTGTTTCTAGTCTTCGGTATTTCCAGACAAGTGGCTACTGAAATCAATCTTACTAACTGCTGTCTGTGCAATTTACTCCGCGCGAGTTGACGGACTTTATTTTGCTTACTTTAACATCATTTTTCATGGTGGGGCTGAGGCCTACCCCAGCCATACCCTGGCGCCGCCACTGGGTGTGGGAATGCCTGAAAAGAAACAAAAGCATCTCAAGTCATTTGTTTGAACGTTCCAGCTGTCAAACTTAAATATACTGATGTAAATATAGCAGGTTCACGAGCATGACTGTTCCTACTTCCTGTCTACTTGTTTGTGCTCAGTTTTTGCTGTCTTTTCTAAAGTAATCTATCATCTGAAGCACTTTGACATAAACAACACAAGGTCATACCTACATCCATAACCTACATCTTGACTATCATGTTCAGTCTGGCTTCAAACCCATGCACAGCACTGAAACAGCTCTTTTAAGAGTTTTTAATGATCTGCTCCTGTCCGCCGACTCAGGTATCCCAGCTGTCCTGGTGCTGTTAGACCTGACAGCTGCCTTTGACACTGTGGACCATAGCATCCTGTTGTCACGGCTTGAACAGTCCGCTGGCATCACAGGCTCTGCCCTTGCATGGTTCAGGTCCTACCTGACAGACCGTAGCTTCTCA